ATTATTCTGAAATTAGATTAAGGTACAGAATCAAGCATTTATCTTGCCTCTCCTTTATAAACTGTTTTTCATATTAACCAGATAAAGAAGTCCAACTAATTCAGAAAGAACGATTGACTTAGAAAAATGTCATTTTGCAACCCCAGTGAAATAATGGATCTATACAATAATCCTCAATGGCTGCTAAGACCATTAGGAAAAGGTTGATACCTAAATCCCACTGATCAATCTTAGCATCACTAAAAGTGGGACAAACAGGTATTACATCCCTCTTGATGTGATACAATAGCAAGTACCCACACTGCCTGTGAAATATTCTTGCCTCCCCCAGCATAATTAAGCCTAAATTTCATGTTTTAGACTCAGCTACAAGTTAACAAGAAATATAGGACTGTAGAAACAAGTTAACCAATACCACAGAGATATAACCAAAACAGTCCAGGATGCAGAAAATCAACAGGAAAAATGACTCATTTTTTCAATAAATAAATGTCTTGGTTAAAAAAAAAAAAGGAGAGGAAACGACTAAACGATAATAGAGACATAAGAGATAAATCAAATTCTATAAAGGACCTTGTTTGGGTCCTGATTGAACAAATAGGACAATTAACAAATTTTGAGACAATCGAAGAAATCTGAACACGGATTGGAATAATATTTCAAATAATAATTTTGTTAGGTGTGATAATACTATTGTGGTTATATTGTTCTAAAGCCTTTATCTGTTAGAAATGAGGTATTTATAAGTAAAATTTCTGTGGCCCAGGAGTGCAGACTGGTTAAACACAATTGGCAAAATATCGATAATTATTGGGGCTGGGTGATAGTACCATCACGATCTGCTTCCCTCTAATTCTGGATATGTTTGACATTTTCTGTAATAAAATATTTTAAACAAAGTTGAAATGAAAAAGACTATGTGCCATGAAAATCTGAGTGTTGAGACCTGAGGCTTATAAAGTCCTTTCAGAACCTGAAATCACTTGCAATTTTATACTATGCAAGAACGATCCCAATATCAATGTGTATTGTTATTCTGCTGAACTAACACTTGCCCGTTTGCCGTGTCTTTGTAAGAATTCATCATAACTGGAGCCATCCAGCAATCTGTGAAGAGCTTCTTGTCTTTACCATTTGGGAGGGAATAAACAGATTACTAGACGTGCTAAGTCATCCACACACCCCCATCTTTAAGCAGGTGAATGACTATGATGATGGGATTAAGCTTCACAACCAATTACACCATCTGACTCAGATTTCTTGAGACAAAACAGAAGAATAAGGAAACGTAAGTAGTGTCTGGGTGCAGTCAAATGTACAATATTTATCTAGTTACTCCACCACCGCACAGAGTTTTAATATGTAGTCTGAGAGCATAAACTGCAGATACCAATATTGTATGTGTGTCTGAGACATGACAATTTAGCAGCCCCTCTGGCACTTAAACCATTTAGGAGTTTCATTCCAATGAAATCCAAATGGGAGAAGCATCCAGAGGTCAGGAATACATCAGGCTTTCTCTTTCTCAATTCCCCTCTCACACCTTTGGGACCTGGGCTCATTCCAGAACACCCCGCAGCTTCCTCACAATGATCTACACCTGCAAGCTTTCCTATGTCCATACTCTGCCCCGGTCAAACCGTACCCCTACTACCACCTCCACCACCACCATTGCCACCACCTCTGACACCACACACACACACACACACACACACACAGAGCGGAATTCTTACTTCTTGTAATAGCAGTAGGTATCAATGTGTGGTCCTGAGACAGGGAGCAGCTGCATCACGTGGGAACTAGTTAAACATGCAAGTTCTTGGGCCCCGTCCCAGACCTATGGAATCAGACGCTCTAGGGTAGCACTCCAAGTTTTAATAAGTCCTCCAGGTGACACCTGTGCACAGGAAAGTTTGTGAAAAGTAGAGGAGTGTCATGCCCACAAACGAAGGGTAAATTTGGGGGAACACTGCAGGTTCTTCTAATTCTTAAAAACCTAGGGCTGAGTGAGTAGGAGACATTCTCATTTTACACAAGAAGGAAAGTGAATAATTAAGAAATCAAAAGACACACAGTCAATGTGAATTCATTACAGAAAACATGGAGATGGGGTGAAACAGGCCAGATAATACAAAACAAGTGTTAACAAAACAAGTGTTAAATGACTGTTATTGTTTCAGCACATCTTCTAAATTGAGGTTAATTTAACATTGGTTTGCGTTGAGTCAATCTGTCAACAAGTGCTAATTGAACACCTTTGATGTCCTTTTCTTCAAAGCACACCAACCAATGGAGACACCCAGAAAGAGAGTATTTGGGGAATTCTCTGAAGGATTTAGGATTTAAATCATAATATGAGTAATGTATATGTATCTAAGTGATACTACAGTTAACTTTAAAGGGGTTACTAGAAAGTGAAAAAATTACAAGGGTATTCTCTCCTCTGCCTCTGTCTAGAGTATAGAAGAAAAATCTATATTTTTACAGGAACAAACATAAGGGAAACAATGTCCAAAGACTGAATTTCTACTCTGCATCTCGGTTTAAATGTGAAATATATTGTTGCTAAACTTGGACTCAAAATCAGGTATGCCTCTTACTGAGCTCTGTTTACTGGGTACTGCAGAGAAGCCAGATCATGGAATCCAGTTCTTTGGAAAATCTCCAAGGAAAGAATTTCTAGAATGAGGATTCTGAAGTATGAATATGTGTGTTATGTTTCTAATTTCCCAGAATACATGTGATTTCTCATAATTAAAATGCCCAGGATTTTTCTTCTACTATGATTTTTATTAGGTTATAAAACTGGTGGGACAATTATTCATGTTAAAAAGAATTATTTTCAGTTTTAAGCTATCACCATATTTCAAACTCTTTTCAATTTCTCATAATTGTGGTGAGACTGTATTTATAAATGTACAATAAAGTCCCTCAGATGATAATATTTCAAATACTCCCTGCCTTCTTTTTAATTAATAAACCCAAAAGTCATCTTTTGCAGAAATAACTGCCTTAAGCTTCAAAAAAATTTTCAGCTTAAAAGTTCAACATTTTATGGTCAGCTGTTTTATTACAAATTCAGGTGGTAGTAGGAAAAATCAGAAAATTGAACCCAAGACATTCAAAAGATGCTAAAGGGAACATTCTCCTCCCTCCACCCCGCCCACCTTAAACTTTTACGGAATACAAAAAATTCTTATTTTCCCTCTCTACCATAACTTACTTAAATTTTATTGAAGGCCTTTATTATTATTATCATATCTAAATAGTTAGAATTGACTTTATTTCTGTGGAAATAAAGACCAACCAAATGAGAAAAAACAAAGGCTATTTTTTCAGAACCCGGATAAGAAGTGAGTCAGCCACTGTCACTTGCATCTTGGCAAAGATGCAAAGGCAGGCAGAGGAGTAGGAAAGCTTGATTGTACAAAAAAGGGAGGCTTCACGTGTACCCTGATTGGAGGCTGTGGGCTTGGGGAAGCTGGAGGCGCAATAACTCATAGCAAGGTATCTTATGTGACTGGTCAGGGGTGTGCATATTTGTTTTTCTCTAGTTGGTCCTAAGTTGGAAGGATTTAATCAAATCCTGCCCATTTGGGGCTGGCTGTTACAGAAGTTACTGTTTAGTTTCTTAGATTGTTATTAGAGATAGTGGTCTGAATTCTAACAAGTCTGACTTATGGCAGGCTGGCTTCCTGGACTGTTTATTGTCAATGAAAGGGTTGGTTTCCTTGGCAGGTTGCTGTAGGTTGTGGGTCAGAGTTCTATTTTTATATAGGGTCTGGCCGTTGTCTGTTTCTATGTTTAGTCTCTCATTTCCAAGTTAATTATAATTTAATGAGTAGCTGCAATATTGATGTAGTTCAGATCCAGAATGGGGTGCCCACCTCTGTGGAAATTTAGACCCAGCAACCAGAGGAGGTATCGTACGGTTCCCACAGGTATGAGGGCCTCTCCAAGCAATGACGATCTGGGATCATTTAAGAGACAAACTGGAGTGAATAGCCCCTGGACAGAGACGGGACCACAAGGAAAGGTTTGAAAAGAGTAAGGCACAGGCAGATGCTTTCTAGGAAGCAACAGTAAGATAAATCAACAAAGCCAGTCATCTTACTGTATTTTTTTATACTGCACAGTTTTCATTATTTTATTTTTTTAATTACTTTTTATTGGAGCCTAGTTGATTTACAACGCTGTCTTTGTTTCTGCTGTACAGCAAAGTGAATCAGTTATACATATACATATACGTCTTCCCCTTTTTCCAAAGAGCTGAGGCAGAAGTACAATGTTTGCTTCATGCCCATCTGAAAGGACGAAGTTCAGGTTGTGCGAGGGTGCTACAAAGGGCAGCAAATTGGCAAAGTGGTCCAGGTTTCCAGGAAGAAATATGTCATCTACACCATACGAGTGCAGCAGCAGAAGGCTGATGGCACCACTGAGCATGCGAGTATTCACCCCAGGAAGGAGGTTATCACTAAACTAAACTGGTCAAAGACCAAAAAAAGATCCTTGAGCGTAAAGTCAAATCTTGCCAAGTAGGAAAGAAAAAGGGCAAATATAAGGAAGAAACAATTGAGAAGATGCAGAAATAATCTTTTATATGACTTTCATTAAAAACTGTTAAAATGAAAAAAAAATTTAATTAAAAATATAGTAAGACATTTTAAAAAACAAAACAAACAAAGCAAACAAACAAAGCCAGCAAAAACTCTAAGACATGAGACAAAATAGCAGACTGAAAATGGGAGAGTGCGTGCCTAGATCAGAAACAGTGCCTAGTGCGTGCCTAGGCTCAGAAACAGATTTCAAAACCACTCAGCATACCCAACAAAACTAATCTACCAGCAAAATGGCCCAGAGGCCTGCCTGTTTGGGACCCCTGTCCAATCTGATATTCACCCTGTATGCTGGTTTGACCATACCAATTGGTCAGTTCCCCATTCCATCATGGTGCCCAAGACAACTGGTCATTAAATATGTATTCTGAATATTACCCCCACCTGAAAGTGCGAGAGTCTGGAGGTACCCCCAACTAGTGGTTACGAAGAATAAACGATTTCAGATGTAGTTTTGCAGGTGTGCTGTTTCCTTTCAGTTTAGGTGCTGGGTAACTTGTCTCAAGCTTGATCTGAGCTGGGAAGGCATGAAAACCTGAAAGAAGAAATCAAAGAAAAGTACCCCTGGTGAGAAGAGGGTACTCTTCTCTTCATGAGTGAGGGCCATGAAGAAGCTATGAAATCACACATCTATGTCAACTGCACAGGTTGGAGGGCAAATCACTGGGGTCTGTGGCCATGGAAGGGAATATGTCAACACTGCAATTGAAGCCACTGCAGGAGCTTCAGAAATGGGAGCCCAGGACAGAGCAGAGAATAAAGAGGATAAAGAAGGGCATTAATTATTTTTAACATCTTTATTGGAGTATAATTGCTTTACAATGGTGTGTTAATTTCTGCTGTACAACAAAGTGAATCAGCTATATGTATACATATATCCCCAAATCCCCTCTCTCTTAAGCGTCACTCCCACCCTCCCTATCCCACCCCTCTAGGTGGTCACAAAGCACCGAGCTGATCTCCCTGTGCTATGCGGCTGCTTCCCACTAGCCATCCATTTTACATTTGGTAGTGTATATATGTCAATGCCACTCTCTCACTTCATCCCAACTTACCCTGCCTCCCTCCCCACGTCCTCAAGTCCATTCTCTACATCTGCATCTGTAAGGAAGGGCATTAATTCTGATAGCTTCAGCAAGAGAACTGCCACCCCCAATGATAACGTGAGTTACCCCCTTGACTCGGCCAAGAGGTCATGGTGATGGACATTCCAGGGGTACTTCTGGGTGTGTGGTCAGAGCAGAGACACTGTTCTTACCATTTCATATGTTAATTTGCCCCTGCCCCTGTCCAGGGTAACATCTGCTTTAGGTTAAAAAAGAGGGGTGGACATTTAATGTACCTTTTTTACCATTTGAATTTTTCACAATAGTTAAGCCTATTTCTATGGTGGTAAATTAACAGATGCTATTTGGGGAAAAAATATCTAAAATTCACATATGACATACCACAGGTATGGTAAATTGTTTACTAAAATGGCTAAATAATATAAAGGCAGGTTTTTTTTAATATAGCAGGTTCTTATTAGTTATCTATTTTATACATATTAGTGTATGTATGTCAATCCCAATCTCCCAATTCATCGCAAGTGCCCCCCTTCCCCCCCTTGGTAACCATAAGATTGTGCTCTACATCTGTGACTCTATTTCTGCTTTGCCAGTAAGGTCATCTGTACCATTTTTCTAGATTCCACATATAAGCAATATTATACAATATTTGTTTTTCTCTTTCTGACTTACTTCACTGTGTATGACAGACTCTAGGTCCATCCACACCTCTACAAATGGTACTATTTTGTTCCTTTTTATGTCTGGGTAATATTCCATTGTAAAAAAATGTGGAACGCTTCACGAATTTGTGGGTCATCCTTGCGCAGGGGCCATGCTAATCTTCTCTGCATCGCTCCAATTTTAGTATATGTGCTGCCGAAGCAAGCACCCAACTTAACTCTTTAAAGTGTGGCTAGGGTAGGTGATGTGGATCTCTCGTCCCACGTGCAGTGGGGTGTCGATGATACTAATTCTGTTGTCTCAAAATTGGCGACCAAGACCTGGAGCAGAAAGCGAAGACACATCAAGCACCTCCCATTCTAAGAAGAGCTGCCAACAGCTGGAGGCATGAACCCCTCCAGGACGTTTTAATAGACCAGACTTAACCAACTGTACTGCTTTCAACCATTCCCCCCACCCCAAACAAGCAGAAAACCAGGAAGAGGAGAAGGAGGAGAGATTCCTTATTGTGAGTCATCGGTAGAGAGTTGAGAGCCTCGGTGTTTTCCATGGAGGGAGAAAAAATGGGGAGCTCTCATAGACAGTAGGGGTGTCAGAAACAAGAGGAGACAGGCATCTCGAACCACAGGGAGACATCAGCTCATGGAGCAGACATGCTGATCTGCCCACTCTCTGAACATCTCTGAGCAGGGGAGAGGAGAGCCCACAGGGCAGAGAGAGAGACCAGCAGTGGGGAAACCAGCCCTCCTACCTCTTGGTATTTGAAGGAAAGCTGACTCTTCAGTGACTCAGGTGGACACTGCAGAAGGTAGCTGGGCTTAAGCTGTCTTATTGTACCCCAAACAAGAGGGCCACCTACAGGGTGGATGTCCCAAGCAATGGGAAACAGCAGGGTGTACTGCTGGTGGTGAAAGCTGTGGTGGTATTCAAAGAGGTTGAGCTAGAGTTAGTCTCCCTTGTTAAGGCATTGGATGGAAACAAGATGTGGAGCCCTGTCCCGATCCTGAAAGGTTCATGAAGAACTCACACATGTACCCCAAGAAGGAAGCAGCCTGGGATGCCTGCCCTCAGTGGGCATCTCTACTTGGTCCATTTCAGCCTAAGAAGCAATAGCCAAGAGATGGCCAATGCACACCAGGAATGACAGATTCGTCCCTTTCCATCTCCCCTCTGCAATCAAGGAGAAAGGTGCCCCAAGAAATCGGGGATAAGGAGTGAAAAAGCAGACCAAGCTTTCTCCCTCCTCTAAGTCTCCTTGGGAAAGCATGGCCAGTGCTGGGAGGAGGGGAGGGGATAGATGGATCTGAAATGGATATTTTAAACTTGACCTGCTTTTTTTAAATATTCAGAAGTAAATAGAAAATGTATGGAACTCTGTGAGTACAAGGCAGCATTTTCCTCCCAAAATGAATAAATATCTGCAGGTTTTAAATTGCAAGAAGAGCCCTCCTGCAGTGAGGGATGTGGCCCTGAGGTCAGGGAATCACAGTGATAAACCAGGAGCATCTAGGAAGTGAGCCCCGCACAGGATTTCAATTCCAGGACACTCCTTCCTTGGACTTCAGGAAAAGTAAACTAGCAAAGTTTAAATAATTTCTCTCATAGTTTCTCCAACACTTGAATAAAAAGTTTGAAATAAGTGAGGGACTGAGTCATAAAAACAAAAACAGAGGGGAACAGATCCCCATCATGCTCACCATCATCTCTGGGATTTTGCAGAAGTGGGAAGATTGCATTAGAAGGTGTCCTGAGCCCCCAGCCCCACTAGAAGGGCAACAAGTAGGTATCTGCTTTGGCTCAGAAAAGTCTGGGGAGAAAAAAGCAGCCTGGAGAATAGGTAAGAGGACCCTGCAAGAGCAGAGAAAACTCCCCACCCCAGTGAATACACTAGAGCAGTGACTTTCAAACTCCTTGTACCAAAAGCCACAGTAAAAAATACATTGTACATCATGACCCTATACACATGTATATGCATAACTGAGCAAAGTTTTATAAAACAATATTACTCACCATGTGCAATGAATGGACACAGGTTGTTTATATTCTGTTCTGTTTTGTTTTTTTTAATGCTGGTCACAGATCATATAAATTGATTTCTGTGGTTCTGAAGAACCTAGTGACAGGAATAAAGACTCAGACGTAGAGAATGGACTTGAGGACAAGGGGAGGGGGAAGGGTAAGCTGGGACGAAGTGAGAGAGTGGCATGGGCTATATACACTACCAAGTGTAAAATAGATAGCTAGTGGGAAGCAGCCGCATAGCACAGGGAGATCAGCTCGATGATGCTCTGTGACCGCCTAGGGGGTGGGATTGGGAGGGTGGGAGGGAGGGAGACGCAAGAGGGAGGAGATATGGGGATATATGTATACGTATAGCTGATTCACTTTGTTATACAGCAGAAACTAACACACCATTGTAAAGCAATTATACTCCAATAAAGATGTTTAAAAAAATTGATTTCTGGACCCTAGTAGTCTACAAGCAGCAGTATAAACAACTCTCATTAGAAGGAGATGACCCTTAAAAGGGAGGAGAGAGTTTAGGTAACACAAGCATGAACAACATTTGTTTTTTCTCTCCCAAATATGCCTCCCACATTCACAGCTCCTTCTATATCATCAGATTGGAATCATATATTCCTGATAACCTACTTTCCAGATGAGCTCTCTCCTCTGGAGTTCACATCTCTCTACTTCTTCTCTTATCTAACTATCCTCCATGCCTTTCTAGCTCTACCCACTGTAGATGTGGATTGGACCCCTCAATACTATCTCCACTAATTAAATACTTTGCAATCCCTTAAATATCCAACATGTACAAATAATTCACAGGGCATTCTTAACAAGCATGTCTGAACAATAACAATAGTGAGTAACATTTACAGAACGCAAGGATGTGTCAATCACTGCTCTCAGCTTTATCAATCTATATCTCTCTATCTGTAACCCTTATAATCATCCCACAAATAAGGAAACAAAGGCCCAGGAAGGTTAAGTAAGGACACAAAGCTGTCAAGTGGTATACCTATGCTTTGAATACAGGGGTTCTTGGAAAACTTGCAGGTCATAGAAAAGCATGGACACAAAGGATAAGTTTGACCTTTCAGTGGGGGGGAAGAGGGTCATGAGACATGGAGCATTGGTGGGTCTCATGCAGAGCCTCTTCCGGGTTTTATGCTCATGGTAGAATAACCCTTCTGTACCAAAGGTTTCCAACCAAGAGACTTCTTGCTCTCTCATGAAGACAAACATTGGTTTCAGTTTCAGTCACAATTCCTACTTTGTAAGTCAAATCTTGAAATAATTTTATCCCCACAAAACAGAGAAGCAAGATACACATCCTGATAGCATTTGGATTTGTTAACAACCTTCTCCTACCATTTTCACTTGTTCCAAGAACTTTAGGACCTGGGTTACTTGGAATATTGACTAGGAAAATCTTTCTCAAGGGCAGGCCTCTCTGAGAGAATATTCTCATAGGTCCCTGGGACTGGTCCTCAGTTTTGCTAGTTTAATGTGAAAGGAGTAGACTCCAGGGGCGCATAAATCATGTTTAACCAACAATGCTAGATCCTTCACTTAGGAGGATATTCTTTTCCTCTCCTCCAGGGGGCACCATTTGCACAGAATTCAATATGAATGGCACCCGCAGGGATTAGGCAAAGCGGTGGTCCTGAAAAATAGTCCTGCTTGAAACCATCCTTCAGATATCAGACAGCTGGAAAACAAAATAAGTTAATCAAATAACCTAATTGAATTAACGTTCACGAGGTTGCCTGGTGTCCAGAGAATCAGAAGGAAAGGTAGAAACTGACCCTTTCATCACTTCTTGCCTTCAGAAGGAAACTGTCAGATATATTTTCTGCCCCATTAATTAATGCCTCCCTTCTGACCAACCGCCTATGATAGGCATATTCTCTCTAGACTGTGTTAGTTTTACTATTAGTCAGGACTTATTCTGAACCATTCTCTCTAAGGTGAGTTTGTAGATATCTGACTTCATTCTCATTATGCTGATTTTCACAACAAATTCTGAGGTCCCGAATGTAGCGGTGGTTCTCACAGTGTGGTCCCTGGGTACCAGCAGCAGCATCACTTGGGAACCTGTTTAGAAGTGCAAATACTTGGGCCCAAACCTAGACCCAAATCAGACAGACTCTCCAGGTGTGGTACCAGACATCTGTGTGTTTACAAGTCTTACAGGTGATTCTAACACATGCTAAACTTTGAGAACCATTGCCTTAACATACAGTTTCCAGTCCAACCGATACCAGAAACAACTATGAGCTTTTTAAAAATATAGGTGCCCTGGATTCTCCCAGAGCCACTGGGAGAGTAAAAAGAGCTTTGGAATCAAAAGGATCTAGGTGGAAATTCTAGTTTTGTCACTCACCAGTGTGTGCCTGGTTGATGCTCCATTTCCTCATCTCTAAAGCGAGGGTAGCAGGACCTTGCCTCATAGGAAGGTATTGGAAGTAAGATGCAACACATGCCTCATATAGAGACTGACAGCAAATCTTCTTCCTTGGCCTCCATCACAACTGGAATGGCCTTTGCCCAGCCTGTGAGGTTGCAGGTCAGGTCTCATCTCACCCAGAATCACAAAACAAGAGCTGCCAGAAGCTGATTTCCAAAGTTTCACAAATAGCCTAACATTTTGACAGCAGTTACTGGGGGTTTTGCCATGACTCAGTGGGAACAACACGGCCCTGAGATTCCCATGGAGCTATTTCAAACTCTAGATTGATGAGTACAGGAGGAGTCCCTATGACGCAATATTTACCAACTGAGAGCATTATAATTGTTAAAGTAGCTCTTGTGAGCCAGATCACATTCCTGCTGACAACAGGGAGGCAAAGAATTCCAATGGTTGCCTAGAAAATTGAGTGGAAGTTCCCCAAGTTACCTGCCACACACAGGTTTGTTTTTCCTTAATTATCTAGGTAATTGCTTTGGTTCCTCTACTAGCCTTTACCAAGAGACACCTGGGCAGAAGAGCGAGTATCTGTGGGGCTGCCCTGCTGGGTAAAGGTTCAGGTTGCTCACCCCAGTGCAGAGACCTCCTCCAATGTCAGTGGGAGTGCCTATGAACTCCCCCTCCACTGGAACTAATGAGGCCTTTCTAGTCAATCTGGGTCCCTGCTCTTGTGCATTTTTTTTTTTTTTTTTTTTTTTTTTTT